GTGGAAATACAAAATGAACATGTTTGTTTTAATGCTCAACCAAAAGTATGAACAGATGCGATTTGCGTTTTTAAAGCATTAGAAATGCAGGAAAAATGAGTAAAAATAAAGATATTCGTCATCTAAATCAGGGGTGCCCAATAGGTAGATCACGATCTGCCAGTATATTGCAAGGAGGGTGCAGGCATATCATGAGCAATAAAATATATAAAAAGAACTATAAATATAATGTTGTAAGTTCAGTATATATATATGAGTAAATATATATATAAATGTATACAAAACACCACAAAGTTTCTCTTTTTTCTGGCTGCAGTAAAGATTATGAACAATGGCTTCCTTTGACATTGGTTGTATGTTTTTCTAAAAACATTACCGCGTTGTTGATAATGAGCTTTTAATAAATGCAATCTTGGACAAAGGCTGTTGATTTGTGGTCACCTTTTGGTGGATTAGTGGTTAAGGAAGCATACTTGGGTCCAGAAGGTTTCAGATTCGAGTCCACCAGTTGCCAAGTCGCCGTTGAGGTGCTTTGATCATGGCACCGTCCCCTTACTCAGCACCTGGGCAACACTGCCCCCTGCTCATTTCAGTGATGGGTTAAAAACAGAAGTCAAATTTCGTTGTGTGTGCAGTGGTGCAGTCACTTTCACTTAATCAGTTCCTTAGCAGCCTGTTTATCAGAGAACCATACCATCATGTTATTTCTACATGTTTTTTGTTTTTTTTTGTCTGTGTGCCATTTGATGCTGAGGAGGCTGTACACTGTTATATCATTATCCGGGCTTTAACCTTGTAAACAGTTGCATGCGACTAATTGTTGAAGAGACTAGTGAGAAGGAACCGCAGTAAAGTCTCAGCCTGTAAAACAACAATAATGAAGAAAGCTGTGTAACAGAAAGTGCCGAGGTAGCAGAATACCCTCTTTATCCGTTTTCACATCCCCCGTATTGTTCCGTGATCCATTTAAAGCACTAGCACAAGTTGTTCCGTAAATTGTAGCTCCGAGGGAATTATTGCAATTACTGTATTTAACTTTTCATTGCCGACGTGTGACTTTTCATAGAACATGGGGTCGCTGGTATTTTAATCATAAATGAATCCAATTATCATGTTTGAGATATAATGCAGTTGGCTCAACTTTGAGTAGCCAACAGTAGAAACTGTCGTGGAAAAATTCTTCTGTTC